AGACTCCTGAGTAGCTGGGATTACAGGCACGCGACACCATGCCCAGCTGATTTTTTGTATTTTTAGTAGAGACGGGGTTTCACCATGTTGACCAGGATGGTCTCGATCTCTTGACTTCGTGATCCACCCGCCTCGGCCTCCCAAAGTGCTGGGATTACAGGCTTGAGCCACCGTGCCCGGCCTAATTTTTGTATTTTTATTAGAGATAGGGTTTCACCATGTTGGCCAGGCTAATCTCGAACGCCTTAACTCAGGTGATCCACCCACCTCAGCCTCCCAAAATGTTGGGATTACATGTGTGAGCCACCGTGCCCAAGTTTTATATTTAGTAGAGATGGCGTTTCACCTTGTTGGCCAGGATGGTCTCTATCTTTTGACCTGGTGATCCACCCACCTCAGCCTCCCAAAGTGCTGGGATTACACGTGTGAGCCACCATGCACGGCCAAAATAATTTTATTAGAAAACTTCAGGGCAGTGCCTGGAATTGAAGGAGAAGCCCCAGGAGCATGTTTTGGAAAGAGAAGTCCATGGGCAGCTCTGAAGGGTAGTGTGGCAAAGATCAGGAGACATTTGGTCTGGGGGTGAATGGGCCACTCTGACCGGGACCCCAGCCTGGGGAGGGGGTGTAGCTGGAGCAGGTCTGAGCACGCTTGAGCAGTGCTGTCCAGAACCTGTGCATCCCACAGCGTTGCAGCTACAGGACAGAGGCTGCAGCCAGACGGCGTCAGAAGCCGGCATGGTTCTGGAAGGATCGAGAACGTGAAGTTGTTGTGGCTGCACCAGGGTTTCTGTCCCCTGCACCCCACAGCACCCTGATCTTTCACCCTCAGGAGGCAGCAAGCACAAGGGGCTGGGAGGAGGGGCTGCTCAAGGCTCTAGGGCGGCCAGTGAGGCAGGAGACATGTTCTAGCCCCAGCTGGGTCCTGGTCCATGGACCTGCCTCCCAGAAAGCCCCATCACTGTGTCATCGCCTATCAAGGGCCCACTGAGGCCTGTGAGCACATGTTATTCCTGGTGTCGCCTGACTGCTCAGCATTTCCCAGGTGGGAGCCTAGGGTGCAGGACCCTCCCCAGGACGGTGAGGGCCCCCTGTCTGTGATAAGAGGCGGCCTGAGGGTGCAGCCCTTGCACTGGGCTGGCCGTTTGGAGGGGTGCACTGGGGTCCCAGCTGTGACATCCTGAACCTGCTGCGTTCCCCTCCCCAGATGCTGCAGCAGGAGATGGTGCTGCAGCCTCCTTCTGCTCTGCAGCAAGGGAATGATGTCTGTGGTCAGCAGGAGGCTCTGGGGAGCACAGGCTGGTGCAGAGCGGGGCCCTCCCGGTGTCTCACCCACCCTTTTTTCCATGCCAGCATAACTGGCTTTGCTGGGGATCTGCACTTAGTTCCAGGGAAGGTGGCAGGGATCATCCCAGTCTACCTTGGTTCCCCACCCGCCACAGCCAGGTGCCTGTGATGAGCTTCAGCCATTGAGATGGGGGGACCACTAGAGTCTTCAGGGGCTTGTTCTCTAAAAATGACAGGCAAGCAAGGAGAGCTGGGTTCCTGCCTCTTCCGTTCCAGATGCCTTGAGTCCACCCACACGGGGATGTGGTGTTTGGAGCTCCAGCAGCCGTCCTGTGCTTGGGAGTCAAAGAAGAGCCGGTGTTCCAGGGACAGTGAGTGCAGCAGAGGTTGAGCCCAGGCCTGCTGTCCTGAGAGGTGGCTGGGTCACTGATGCCTTGGCACTGCTGCTGGGGTTATGTCGTGAGCTGCCGCTGAGCCTGTTTCTAATGACCGTGAGATCTGAAGACTACTCTCAAGGCTTGGCCTCTTCCATGCTTGTGGGGGATGGTGGATCCTGCTTCCTCCCCGGCCCTGCAGAGCCCAGCGAGAGCCTGAGGCACACGTGGCCTCCCCGGTGCCCATCGCAGCATTGCTTTCCAGCTGGGCCCTTTTCCACTGAGCCAGATCCCCCCCAGAGTCTTCAACACAGGCACCTCCCACACCCCACCCCTGGGTTCAAAGGAAACTGGCAGCCCCTGAGCCAAGGGCTGAGGTGGGCTGTGGGCCCGGCTGTCCTTGGGAGCTGTACTGGAGCTCACCACGTTGGGACCCAGAGGCAGACTCACGGTGGCCCAAGAGCTCGGGACTGTTGGTCCGGCGGTGACCCCCACCTCCCTGTGCATGGCTGCAGCTGGACAGGCCACCCTGGGCTACAGAGCTGGTTTCCCTGCAGCCCTTGGGTGCACACTGAGGGCATGCATGCATATGTGTGTACATATTCGTGTGTGCGCACGCGTATGTGTGTGGGTGCAGGTGTGTGTGTGCGTATGTGTGTGGGTGTTGCAGACCTTGGGTGCCAGACATGGAACAGACCCAGGAAGGCATCTGTCTTCATTGTCCTCATGGGGCCCTAGTCCAGAAACGTCCTTGTGGAAAGTGCTCCATGGGACCATGCCTCTGCTCGTGGGAAGGTGCTGTCCACCGTGACCCTGGTGAGCAGACACGCCGGCCCCACATGTCTTCCTGCTGCGCAACACAGGCACGAGGAGATCCAAACAGATAGAATTAGCTGTAGGATGATCTGATTCCAAAGTGTCTAATCACAGATATTCCTGATGCTAGTTGATCTCCCCCATGACCATAACGAGTCAGAACGTTAATGTTTTTCCAGCTCATCTTCCCACAGTGCCCCGACAGGCACATCCAGTGAGAACCACAGTGGGAGTCCTGTGGCAGGGTCACCCACTTCCGATGCCCTCCGGCTGTGTCCTGGCAGGAAGCAGGCTGCCCGATTCTCATGCCCTTTGAAGTCCCAGGCTGGGTGGCTGGGGTGGAGGCTGGGGTTAACCACCATCTATCTCAAAGCCCTCATTATGGAGCTGTGAACATGAACATCCCTGAAATGTGAGGATGCAGTGGGCTGGGATAGCGCTGCTCACCAGCTCATGGCCAGGGGGGAGCAGGATTTGGGTCTGTGAGGTGCTGTGGATGTCCAGGGACTCCTATGCAGCGACATGGCACCTCACACCATGGTGCCATCTGCCTTCCCCAGCCAGGCTCAGCCTCCTCCTCACATCTGGGACCCTTCTTTCCCCTGTGCTCAGCTGGAAGCACAGCATGGGGTGGCAAAGGTCCTGGGATGCAAAAGGCTGGACTGAGGTGAGGCTGTGGGTGCGGCCAGACCACAGGTCTGGGAGGTGTGGATAGGCCATGCTCTCCAAATGAGCTGTGTGCTACCAGACAGCGGTCTGCCAGTCTGAAGATGGTTTGACCAAGTCTCCCAAAGCTGAAGCCCCACCCATGCCCCTCCTGCATGCCATCCGGCAGGTGCACGCACCTGTGTCCATCAGGTGGTACAAGAATCTGCCAGCAGCACTGTCATTGATACGGAGTCTGAGGCCACCCCGATGCCACGTGGTGTGTTCACACAATGGACACCACTGTCTGAGGCAGAGGATTGCAGCCACCAGCATGGGCAAATCCAGCTGAGCGCAGAGAGAGTGAGCCGGGTGGGAACGTAGTGTCTGTGTCTGGTGCTGCGTATGTATCTGGTTCGGGTGGGGGCGTCCCTCAGCCTGCATATTTGTCATTGGTGCACTTTTATGTGTGTTGTACTTCAATTAAAACATTTTAGGCCCATTGCAGTGGCTCAGGCTTGTAATCCCAGCACTTTGGGAGGCCAAGGCGGGTGGATCAGGAGATCAAGACCATCCTGGCCAACATGGTGAAACCCCGTCTCTACTAAAAAAAAATACAAAAATTAGCTGGGCATGGCGGTGTGCGCCTGTAGTCCCAGCTACTTGGGAGGCTGAGGCAGAATTGCTTGAACTGGGAAGGTGGAAACCACAGTGAGCCAAGATCGTGCAACTGCACTCCAGCCTGGGTGACAGAGAAAAACTCCATCTCAAAAAAAAATTTTTTTTTAAGCAGGCCAGGCATGGTGGCTCACACCTGTAATCTCAGCACTTTGGGAGGCCGAGGCAGGCGGATCACCTGAGATTACGAGTTCAAGACCAGCCTGACCAACAGCGAAACCCCATCTCTACTAAAAAATACAGAAATTAACCAGGGGTGGTCATGGGCACCTGCAGTCCCAGCTACTTGGGAGACTGAGTCACGAAAATCACTTGAACCCGGGAGGTGGAGGTTGCAGTGAGCAGAGATCAAGCCACTGCATTCCAGCCTCCGTGGCAGAATGAAACAAAAAAATAAAAATAATAAACTTTAAAGCAAAAATACTTATAAATTGCAAAATGCAGATGTAACAGGTAATAGTGATGTGCTCACACACGGAGGTGGCTTGTGAGTGGTGTGGTCATTGCACGGTCAGATACTGGCACCCCAGTGGGGGACAGCAGGGATCTGAACTCGGACAAACATTAAAACCCTGATGCGGTGCCTGTCCCCTTGCTTCCTTTTCAGCACCTGTAAATGGGATGAATAATTCGGTTCCCCGTCCCACTTCCTCCTCCAGAAGGAGGTTTTTTGTCAGCATGGACGCAGCGTTCAGCAAGGAAGTGCTGGGAGCGCCCTGGAGTGAACGCACAAAGATGCCCTCCCTGCTGGGCCTGGGGGCCACACCCGACTGCTGTGAACGGATGGCAGAGCACTGCGTGCGGCCACTGGCTGGAGGCTGGAGGCGAGAGGTCCGCCTTTGATGTGGCTTCTGCTGCTGGGCCTGTGGTGCCTCCCCAGCGGAAGTGGGGGCATTGCTCGGGGAGGGCAGGAGCAGTGTCCCAGGTGCCCCAGTGAGGACGAGCCGTGAGATGACTGGAGGGTCCCGACACCTCACCAGGGTGCCCCCCAGCCAGTCTGCTGGTCCGCGCCCAGAAAGCGACACCCCCAGCCCCAGGGCTGCCATTGAGGGGGCTGCTCCTCTGGCTGGGCGAGCCTGGGCCCTCAGGGGCAGGGGCCAGAGCGGCCTCAGGCTCTGTGTGATACCTAGAAGCATCACCCCCTTCGGGGACCTCTGGCATTGGGCCTTTTCACCCTCTGCCCTGCCTGGAAGCCTCTCATACCCCTGTGATGTGTGTCTCTGCCAGGGTCCACTCAGTTTCCAGAACTTTAATTATTGGAAAGTTCTACCGGGTACAACCCCCAAATCTTCCATGAACGCTGACGGCTGAGTTGCTCCATGCATGCTTCGGCTGAGAGCAGAAGAGGCCCCTGTCCTCACTGAGCTGCTGACATGGGGAGTGGGGTTAGGGGCTGGGGCTGTGACTATCTGAGGCGGAGGAGCCTCTGGAGGGGGCAGGGCCAGGGAAAACCCTGGACTCCTGGAGGGGAGGCCAGGCAGGGGCCCTGGTGACCTGGACAGATGGCGGTGTTTTTTAATGTGAAGGAGATGGGCTCTGTGTGGGACTCTCTGGGTGCTGTGCGCTGCCTGATGGCAGGCCAGGCGGGGGTGGGCGCTCACGCATCCCGGGCACACGCCCATCATGTGGCCGCCCTCATGGGAGGGGCTCCGAGGATGACTTTAAAGATGCAGAGAAAGGCTCCATTCTTCCCAGGACCTCAGTCCAACCCTGGCCCAGGGAAGCAGGAGGCAGGCAGAGGTCTCAGAGGCCAGGAGGGGCCAGAGGTATGGAGATGTCCTGGGGACCTGAGCGGCCTCTAGGGAAGAGGCAAGGAGGGAGCTGAGGACCAGGTTTGTCCGAATTGGTTGTGAGATGCCCTGATGTCAGAGGGTTCATGCTAGGAAGTGTCGACTGGCTCGGACATGCCCAAGCTGGCCGGTCCAGGAGGGAGAGGGTGAGTGTGAGGGCAGATCTGGGGGGTGCCCGGATGGAATGAGGCAGGCATGGGGGACACCCAAGGCTCCCCAGCAGCACCATGAGCTGAGCAGGACACCTGCAGGGGGAGAACTGTGGGGACCTGGGAGCCTCCAACGACCCCTTCCTGCTTCCTGGACGGGACTATGCCTATGCAGGGAGCTCAGAGGAAACTCCTGGGGTCCCTCAACTCCACCCCCACAGCCACCTCCAACCTGGGGCTGGCTGCTAACCACACAGGAGCCCCATGCCTGGAGGTGTCCATCCCCGACGGGCTCTTCCTCAGCCTGGGGCTGGTGAGCTTGGTGGAGAATATGCTGGTCGTGGCCGCCATCGCTAAGAACCGCAACCTGCACTCGCCCATGTACTGCTTCATCTGCTGCCTGGCCCTATCGGACCTGCTGGTGAGCGGCAGCAACATGCTGGAGACGGCCGTCGTCGTCCTGCTGGAGGCTGGCGCGCTGGCGACCCGGGCCTCGGTGGTCCAGCAGCTGCACAACACCATCGACGTGCTCACCTATAGCTCCATGCTGTGCAGCCTCTGCTTCGTGGGCGCCATCGCTGTGGACCGTTACATCTCCATCTTCTACGCACTGCGCTACCACAGCATCATGACGCTGCCGCGGGTGCAGAGAGTGATCGCGGCCATCTGGGTGGCCAGTGTCACCTCCAGCACACTCTTCATCACCTACTACGAACACGTGGTCGCCCTGCTGTGCCTTGTGGTCTTCCTGACCATGCTAGTGCTCATGGCTGTGCTGTACGTCCACATGCTGGCCCGGGCCTGCCAGCATGCCCAGGGCATCACCCGGCTCCACAAGAGACAGCCGCCAGCCCACCAGGGCTTTGGCCTCAGAGGTGCTGCCACCCTCACCATCCTGCTGGGCATCTTCTTTCTCTGCTGGGGCCCCTTCTTCCTGCATCTCACACTGGTCGTCTTCTGCCCTCAGCACCTGACCTGCAGCTGTATCTTCAAGAACTTCAAGGTCTTTCTGACCCTCATCATCTGCAACACCATCATCGACCCCCTCATCTACGCTTTCCGCAGCCAGGAGCTCTGCAGGACGCTCAAGGAGGTGCTGCTGTGCTCCTGGTGCGCACGGCACAGGCGGCCTGCAGGGTGGTGGCCGGGGTGCTGGGCAGAGGGAGGTGGTGACAGTGTGTGGCCTGGCTCCTGTGTGACCCTGGGCGGTCCTGTACCTCCCGTGTCCCCATTTGTCAAAGAGGAGGGACTAAATGATCTCCCAAAGTGTTGAAGCGCAGACCCTTCTGGGACCAGGGAGAAGATTCTATGCAAAAGTGCAGGCAGGACTCCTCACCAGCAGTCATGGGGAATGGAGGAGGCCGTGGGAAGTTGTCAGGCTCCGGGCTCCTGAAGAGACATTTTCGACCCACTCCTGGGGCACTCCACCTGCTCCGATGACTGGGCAGCACCCACCCCACCCTATCTTTGCTGCCAACTCTCAGGACCTGTGCCCTCGTCAGCTGGGACATGAAGTCTCTGGGTGGAAATGTGTGCCAAGAGCCTCTGCGAGGGAGTCTGCTCCCACCACAGTCCCAGGAGAAGGGGCTTTGTGACCAGCTTAGCCACAGCCATGCAGCAGCTCCTGCAGCAGGAAGTGAAATCCGTGACTCAGGCTAAGGGACCAGGTTTGCAGGAGCCTCACAAGTGGCGTGGGGCTGATCCCTTCCGAGGGCCGGTTCTAAGGCTTGTCATGGTGACTGGGACTGGGTCCTCAGCCTGCTTTTCTGTGCCAGTTGCCGAGGCAGACAGCTCTGGCCAATGCCTGAATCAGTGACCAGTGCCTGGGAGCACAGGGCCGGGAGTCATAATAAATGTGACTCAGCATCACCCACCTTAGCCCCTTCCAGAAAGTGCTTGAAGTTTGCGGGTGGAGGGAAGGGGAGTGGAACGTCGTCAGAGATGAGAGTCAAGAGAGGGAAGAAAGGAGTCCCAGAAAGCACGGCCCACCTTGCCAGGTGAGGAAGCCACAGCCCCAGAGGCTCTGAGTGCCTGGGGATGTGGAGGCCCCAGCCAGGCTTGTGCTGACTGCTCCTTGGCTTTCTCTCCGTGCTTGCAAAGCCCAGCCCGGAGGGAGGAGCAGGTGCAGCAGGTCCCAGTCCCCTCCACTCTGACACCGTCCCAGCTGGAGTAGAAACAGGTGCCCAGTCCTCTATGTGACCACATGTGACCTCAGCTGGGACACATTCCTTTTTCCCTGCCCTGGCCCTGAGTCCCTCCAGCCATGATCAGCCGTGAATGGGACCATCCCCGTGCACTCTGAGATGGCCAGAAGGGGCTCCAGTGCAGGGGGTCTGGGGTCTGGGGGTCGGGGGGCTGGGTCTGTTCTCCACCCAGTACTGCCCTTCTGGGAGTGGGCAGGTGGGGTCTGTACTTGAGGTGAGGCCTCTGACGATGGGGATGAGGCAGGGGTCCAGCCAGTGGACAGGTCCCTGGAAGCGAGTCCCCGAGGGTAACACTGGTGCCCGGTTCTGGGGAGCAGTGGAGCCCGGGTCATCCCTCTGCTGAAACCTGGGCATGTCGCTGAGAAGACGATCTCCATTCCGTCTGCAGACGCTGAGCACTCAGCCTCCATCCGGGGACAGGCTCAACGGAGGCTGCAGGGGTGCCATCAGCCAGCGCCCCGGCAGGCCCAGTAAGCAGCCCCCTGACCAGCCCCACCCCTGCATCAGATCCAGCCTTAGGATGGGGAACTGCTTCCTGGCAGGGCCTGCCTCTTCTGGGAGACGGGACAGTGAGTCAGCCTTAAGCCTGGCACCAGAGCCCTCTGAGGACAGAGCCGGAGCTGGCTGGCCTGAGGCTGCAAAGCTTCTTCCCTCGCTGAGACAGGGAGGCACCCGAGATGCTCACTCAGGACCCCCTTAAACAGGGACAGGGAGGACCCCAAGGAAGCTAGACCCCAACCACAGCCACGTAAGCACTTGTGGGGAGGGGCATCTCTTGAGAACAAAAGATCCATTTCTTGACTTTCTGAACCGGGGAGCTTCTCTTGAGAGAAAAGAGAGAGACAGGCCCAGTGACACGCCACCCCCACACACCCCTGTGCACACAGACCCGACACAGGCGTCGTGTTTGCAGCTGTTCATTTTGGGAAATGAATGCCGACTTGCGGGAGGCGGGGTCGTCTGTACACTGCGCACTGTCAGATCTTTCCTGAAGGATTTTTGTCATTGAAATGTCAGAAGGATCTCGTTATAAGGTGGTATCGCTGTAATCCACGGCCCAGGAGGAGGTCGGCGCTGTGTGTAGCTGATGCTGCGAGCCCTGCCGTCCTTCTGTCCCTCCCTTCTCTGACCAGCAGACTCAGCTCCTCTTGTTCCCCCGAGGCACCCTGCGCAGTCTCGACCTCAGGGAGTGAGTCAGATAGAAGCTGCGGCCCACCCTCCCCCACCCCGGCCGGGTTCTTCCCTGGCTTGTGCGTCCTTGTGACAGCTCCTGACACCGATGCGCAAGGCAGAGGCACGTCCAGGTGCTGCGCGCGCCCGGGCCACAAAGCTCCTCTGAACTCTCTCGGCAGTCCCCTGAGGGAGGCGGCCGGGTGGCCCCCCAACTGCGGAAGCTGGCGACCCACAGAGCTCGCTGGCAGCCGCCGCCACCCCCCTGTGCCCGCGGCCTCCCGCCTCGGGCTTTTCCCAGGCCTGATCGGACGGTGGGTTCAGGGCCTGCGTCAGCCTCCACCTACCTCCCCCACCCAAACGGGCGGGCAGAGCTCAGAGCACCTTGACTGCCAAAAGACAGGGAGCTGGGAAGATGCGGCTGGTCCCTAAACGGGCGTGAGGAAAAAAGGCCCTCCTTACAAACCGCAGGGTGGGGCTGTCGCCAGGGTGGGACCCAGAGGGTAGCTGGGGGCGGGGTTCCCAGGGCCCAGGGGGTTTCCATTGTCCTCCCTGGATCCCGACGCCCCCGCAGCCGGCTCCTCCGTGAGCCAGCCCCTCCTTTCCAGTGCGGGGGGCCCCCGGACCGCGCCGGGCCCAGCGCTGCGGGATCCTTGGCTGCGGGAGGGGCGCCGCATTGCGCGCGGCGGGCGGGGACGTGCGGGGCTGAAGATACGGCGGGGACGCGCGGGGCGGAGGATGCGGCGGGGACGCGCGGGGCGGAGGATGCGGCGGGGACGCGCGGTGCGGAGCCTGCGGGCCGGGCGGCTTTCTGCGGCGGCGCCTCCCGATTGGCCGCCCGCGATGACATCAGTCGATGCGGCGGGCGGGGCCGCAGCTATAAGAGCCCACGGCCGCGGTCCCGACCCTCAGCAGCCAGCCCGGCCCGCCCGCGCCAGTCCGCAGCCGCCCGCCAGACGCGCCCAGCATGAGGGAGATCGTGCACATCCAGGCCGGCCAGTGCGGCAACCAGATCGGGGCCAAGGTGAGGCTGCGCGCCCCGGCCTGTCCCGGCCGCAGGGCGGGAGGAGGGAGGCGCCGTGCCCCGCGGCCCGCACCTCCAGCCGCCCCCGCCCCTGCAAACCTGCAACAAAGGGATGTCCCCCGCGCCGAGCCGGGCGGCCGGGACGCGGGGCTCCCGCCCTGGGACTCTCGCCCTCAACTCTCCGCCCCTGCCCCGGTGGCCTCGGGCTGTCGGGGCGCAGCTCACGTCAGTCGCGAAGCCTCAGCCCCCTCCACACCTGCACCCCCTCCACCAGGCCTCGGCAGGTGCAGCTGGGGGCCCTGTCTGGGCGTGGCCCTCTCTTTTGGGCCCGCAACATAGCCCTGAGTGAGATGGGTGGGATGGGCAGGTTTGGGTGGGTGGGGCTCTCCCCACAGCCGTGATTCCCTCGGCTCGAACCTCCCCCTCGAGGAGCCGAACGTCCCCCGAGAGGCCTGAGCCGTCCTGATGCTCCGACACCCCTTGGCGTCCTGGCCCCACCCTGTCCCTTTGTTGGAGGGGTTGGGCCTGGACTCGAGGCGGCCTTGGTGGAGGACCGCGCTCTCCGTCGGCGCAGCCGCCCCTGGGCCACCCCCGCGGGGCTTGACCGCGCCCACCCAGGGTCTACCAGTCTGGGGATTGGACGTGGGAACAAAGCCGGGCTGTGGGGTGTGGATGCTGCACCGCGGCGCGCCCCTCCCTCCATTGTTAGCCCACCTCGCAGACGTCCGGGCCAGGCAGGAAGGGGCGTTGGTGTCGTTGTGCAGGGACCCCCGCCTAAATCATTTAGAGGATGTCATGTCCCCTGGTCCTGGGAGGCTGTCCCTGGCCCAAGGTCACACAGCAGGTGCCAGAGAGCCGGGCTGCCCCTTGGTCCGCCTCCCTGGCAGGAGCCACCCTGGGGCTCGGGCAGGGCGGGCGGTGCCTGCTTGCCAAAGGATCTGCGCTCGGAACAGTCCTGGGAAACCCGGGTAGGGGAGGCCGGCTTTGTCAGGACCAAGGCTAGGGACCCAGCTCGGGGCTGGTGCAGCGCTGATTCCGGGAAGGAGGGGCTGGAGGAGACCGGTCTTGCAGAGGAAGGGGCCAGAGAAAGGCTTCCTCGCGAGGCTGTTGCCATGGAAACCAGCCAGGAACAAAAAGCTAATTACAACAGGGCCAGCCACGTGGCTGACATGTAAATTGCAACTTTGGCTCCGGGTGGAGGCGCCTCCGAGGGTGGGAGGCCCAGTAGTGGGGAGACTCTAATCACCCAAGGAGACAGCTGTGCCTGCCAAGGAGAGCCTGGGGGAGGGGAGGCCTGGGGGACAGTGGCCTCAAATCAGACGAGAACTCCCGGAGCACCCTCTGACAGCTGCCCTGGCCTGATGGGAGGGGCCAAGGTCTCATTAATGTGGTCACTGGGGCAGAGCCTGCCCTGAACATCTGCTCCTGCGAGGGTCAGGGGTCGCTGGGGGGAGGGAGGGCAGGCAGCCCTGAAGCCCACCTGGGGTTCCTCCTTCTGTGGCTGGGATGGGCGCAGAGCTGTGGTCACACATGGCCCTTGTCAGGCAAGAGCTGGGACCTAGAAGTCAGGTCCACAGGCAGACATCCCCCGAGGCTCCACGCGGCAGAGGCAGCTCTGCCCCCGGCTGGGTCCTTGTCTTGCCTCGAGCTCCGCTTCTCAGCACTGGAGCCTTAGTTTGCCCACTACTTTTTATTCCTTTTGAGTTGTTTTTTCTTAATTTATTTTGTTTTAAAAATTAATACCTGGCTGGGCACGGTGGCTCAGTAATCTCATGTAATCCCAGCACTTTGTGAGACTGGAACGGGAGGATCGCTTTAGCACAGGAGTAGTGGACCAGCCTGGGGAACATGGTGAAACTCCGTTTCTATTAAAAAATAATAATAAATAAATGAATCAGCCTGGGGTGGTGGCCTGCGCCTGTAGTCCCAGCTACTTGGGAGTCTGCGATGGGAGAATCACTTTAGCCTGGGAGGTCGAGTTTGCAGTGAGCTGTGACCGCACCACTGCACTGCCACCTAGGCGACAGTGCGAGACTTTGTCTCAAAATAACAATAATGATAACATACGATTCTTTTTAACAATGCAAAAACAGGGAAGTAAATCTCGGGGGGAAAAGTCTGCTCCTTTCCACCCTTCCCTGTGGAAGCAATGGGAAGCAGCTCATGTCTCCAGAGGTCAAACGCGAATTCCCGCGGGCCTGGCCATTCTCGGCCCCCACTCCCACAGCTGGCCGGGGCGGCCGGGTGGGTGGGCGGCAGCAGCTGAAGGCGGGCAAGGCGGCCGCTTCCCAGTTTGGGGGTCCTCGGATGGTGCCTGTCTGCGCAGCGAGGCCCCTGGACTCTGGGAGGCGCCTGGCCGGGGCGACTGGAGGCCGGGAGCAAAGCCGGGTCCCAGGTGGTCACGCGGGTCACCCCCGCGCGGTGCACCGCGCCGGCATCTCGCAGGCATGCGCCCCGAGGAGCAGCAAACCCGGAGGCCCGGAAGCCACGCGGCCGCCCGCAGTCACCCCGGGGGCAGGCGCGGGCCCGGTCGTGCGGAAACACCGGGGCCCGCAGGACCCGCGCCGCGCGGCTGCCGCAGAGGCCCCGCCGGGGCCCGGGCTCCCTCTCCCGGCGCGCGGGCTCCGCCCCGGGGCGGTGCCGCCTGCCGCGGCCGGGGGGGCCTTTGTCCTCAGTGCGCGCTCCGGCGCCCCCTCCCGGCGGCTGCTGGGCGGGGCGGTGAGTGGGCGGGGCCTGGCGCTCGCAGCCAATGGGAGACTGCGCCCTGGCTCGCCCCGCCCCCCCGCCTGAGCGCCCCTGCGGAGCCGGGGCCGGGCTGGAGCCGCGTGGGGGGGTCCCAGGGGTCCCAGGGGGCCCGGGGGTCGTCGCGGAGGCCGCAGTCGCGCAGCAGCTGCCCCGGGAGCCGCCGCCCCCGACTCCCGGCCCCGCTTTCCCCGGGACCCCAAGCGCGGCTCGAAGTCAGCACCAAGGACAGCGCCTAGGCCGGGCACCTCGCGGCTCCCAAGGCCGGTTTTGAGTTTTGTTTTTAGGGTTCGGTTTCTGGTTTTCGTTTTTTTTTTTTTTTTTTGAGACAGGGTCTTGCTCTTCTCACACAGGCTGGTGTGCGGTGGTTCAAGTGATTTTTATGTCTCAGACTCCCAAGTAGCTGGGATTGCAGGTGTGCACTACCATGGCTGGCTTATTTTTGTATTTTTAGTAGAAACGGGGTTTTGCCAAGTTGGCCAGACTGGTCTCAAACGCCTTACCTCAAGTGATCTCTCTGCCTCAGCATCCCAAAGTGCTGGGATTACAGGCATGAGCCACCACGCCCAGCCTGATTTCATTTTTATAATTTAAAAACTTGGCAGGTGCAGTGGCTCACACCTGTGATCCCAGCCCTTTGAGAGGCCAAGGTGGGCAGAACACAAGGTCAGGAGATCGAGACCATACTGGCTAACACGGTGAAACCCTGTCTCTACTAAAAATACAAAAATTAGCTGGGCGTGGTGGCAGAAGCCTGTAGTCCCAGCTACTCGGGAGGCTGAGGCAGGAGAATTACTTGAACCCGGGAGGAGGAAGCTGCAGTGAGCTGAGATAGCGCCATTGCACTTCATCCTGGGCTTCATCTCAAAAACAAATGAACAAGCAAAAAACTTAATGCAAAAAGAATAAAACTTAGCAATGACAAAAATGCACAAAAGGCAGAAAGAAATCCATTCGTGACCCTTGTGGAGAGGTGAGCTCTGGTGACACTCTCAGGAAGAACGGGTATCCTGAGAGACTGTCATCAGAGGTGAATGCTCCTGTACATGTTACAATAATTACACTGTTTTAAAGACATTTATTTTTAACAATTTTCCTTTGAAAAGCTGCCATGTGCTCATAACAAAATCCCAGCAATACCGAAGGATATGCAGTGGGAAGAAGCTTCTCCCAGTCCAGCCCACATAGAGAAGCACCCGTGACGGGTTTCTTTCTCTTTTTTGAGATGGAGTCTCCCTCTGTTGCCCAGGGTTGAGTGCAGTGGAGTAATATAAGCTCACTGCAAACTTTGCCTTCTGAGTTCAAGCGATCCTTCTGCCTCAGCCTCTTGAATCTGAGATTACAGGCACCCGCCACCACGCCTGGCTAGTTTTTTTTTTCTTGAGATGGATTCTCACTCTGTTGCCCAGAATGGAGTGCAGTGGCACAATCTCGGCTCACTGCAACCTCTACCTCCTGGGTTCAAGCGATTCTCCTGCCTCAGCCTCCTGGGTAGCTGGGATTACAGGTGTGTGCCACCACGCCTGGCTAGTTTTTTTATTTTTAGTAGAGACAGAGTTTCACCATGTTGGTCAGGCTGGTCTTGAATGCCTGATCTGCCCACCTCAACCTCCCAAAGTACTGGGGAATTTTAGTTTTAGTGGAGATGGGATTTCGCTATGTTGCCCAGGCTGTTCTTGAACTCCTGACCTCAGATGACTCACTGCCTCTACTTCCCAAAGTGCTGGGATTGCAGGTGTGAGCCACCGCGCCTGAAAAAAGTGCTTTTCTTTTTCTCTCTTTTTTTTTCCTTTGAGATTTTTTTTCTTTAGGACAGTCTTACTCTGTGGCCCAGGCTAGAGTGCAGTGGCATGATCTCGGCTCACCACAGCCTCTGCCTCCCAGGTTCAAGCGATTCTTCTGCCTCAGCCTCCTGAGTAGCTGGGATGTGTGAGCCACCACGTCTGGCTAATTTTTGTATTTTTAGTAGAGACAGGGTTTCACCGTGTTGACCAGCCTGGTCCCGAACTCCTGGTCCTGGTGACCTCTGGTGATCCGCCCACCTCAGCCTCCCAAAGTGCTGGTATTACAGGGGTGAGCCCCCACTCCTGGCCTTTGTGTATTTATTTTGAGATGGGGTCTTGAGGTGAACTCTGAGGCTCATGCTTGCTGCCACCCAGTCCTGCCTCCTGCACAGAGCAGTTTCCTCTAAAGTAACCCCTTTAAGTAGAAGCATCTTAAAACGTCTCTTCCCCATCTCCGTTCCAAAGCGCATCTTGGTCTGCAGTCTCAGGCTCCTCCCACCTCAGCCTCCCAAAGTGCTGGGATTTCAGGCATAAGCCACTGTGCCCAGCTGCCAAATTGTTTCCTACCCTGCTTTTTTCTTGAGTAACCTTTTCTCCGGCACATGACTCACATATAGTGGCCCTCGTTTCTTGAGGCCTTCAAACCCATCAGCTCATCTGAAAGTCACCCCTGAGGAGTCAGCACAAAGGGTACTGGGAGAGGTCAGACAGCCCCGGGAAACCACATGGCCGGTGTCCCAGGAGGCCTGCTGCCTGCAAACGCTGCTCCCGGGCACAGCCGCGGTTGGCCATCAGGGTGTGTCCCGCTGTGAGGTGGCATCTCTCTGAAAGCCTTCCTCTCACCTAGGGGTGTGTGTCTCCGTGTGCACACCTATGTGCTAATAATTCTGTGTTTGCCATATGCCATTTATATGCCTTACACAGATTAACTCACTTCATTCTCACAAAGACCTGCTATCATCACACACATTGAACAGATGAGGACACTGAGTTACAGAATCGTTGTGACCCACCCAAGGTCACACAGTTGGGAAGGGTGGGAGAAGGATCTGTGAACCCAGCAGGTCCAGCCCCTGAGTCTAGGCTCTGCTCTGCAGCAGTTGTGGGAGCAGAGTCTGGGAAGCACTGCAGGTTTGCATTCGGGAGGAAGAAGTGGGGTGGCAGGAAGAGAGAGGCCGACCCCTGGGAGCTGGGATAATGCCAGCCCCACGTGGACAGGCTGGGTGACCCCAGGCAAGTTGCTTCCCATTTGGGACCCCAAGGACCCTTCTGCAGACCCAGCTGGGGGTCCTTGATGACATGGTTGTCCAGGTCCCTATGAGTCCCGTTGGCTGAGGACAGTGATGTCCCAGCACCATCACTGGATATGGTTTGCTCTGATGTGGAGGGGCAGGTGTAGCAGCCAGATACGATCGTGAGCTCTGTGCCTCTGAACCCGGCCACCCTCCTCTGCCAGCTACTGTGGGTGTCTCTACCCTCTGTGTCTCAATTTCCTTGCCTGAAAAGAAGGGATAATGAAACCTATCTCTCAAGGTGTTTATTACCAATGCCCTTCATGGACGCATCAGCTGGCCCAGGCCCTTGGCAGCAGGTGCAGAGCTGGGCCTGGGAGCCTGGGTGTCAGGCTGTTGAACCTTGAGCCATCCTGGGGCTGTGGTCAGCCTGGGCGTGCATGAGTCCAGGTGCATATTTACTATGGCAATTTTTTGACAGATGACAGAGCGTGGGGCTCTCTTTTGAATGGGGCTAGTGGAGGCCTTGGGTCCAAAGCCCTAATTTTATACTGAGGGCTATAAGGCTTCACAAGGGAAAGGGCCTGGCTGGGGCTTACGGGCTGCCTGCTGACCACCCCCCCGCCAACTTCTTTTGCAGTTCTGGGAAGTCATCAGTGATGAGCATGGCATAGACCCCAGTGGCAACTACGTGGGCGACTCTGACTTGCAGCTGGAGCGGATCAGCGTCTACTACAATGAGGCATCTTGTGAGTGCCTGCCCCAGCCTCCCTGTTAGAACCAGATGCTTGTTCCTAGGTGCCGAAAGGAAAAATTAGCATTCAGAGAAAACGTTTTCTCAACAGGGCAATTTTACTTTCTGCAGAAAGGGTGCTACCCATCAGCAGTCCTGCCATGACAGTGTATGCCTTATGCACCGGGTCCTTACTGCTCTGTCCCGTCTCCACTGGTTGGAGCTGGACCTCACAGTCTAAGCTAAACCCAATTGGCTAACAACTTAAAACTTTGCTAAATAGGTAAAGGTAATGGAGAACAAAGGAAAGCAGGGAGTTGCTTGCGAAAGGACTTAGAAAAGTAATAACATTTCTAAATAAGGAGGGGCACAGGCCGCCAGTGGGGACGTGCCTGAGCTTGTCCAGACAAACGTCTTGGTTAAAGCACAAGGACATAGAATGTACCCATTCCTTTATATCTAACAGCTACGTAGGATAGGGCTTCTCAAAGAGTAATTAGCAAAAAAAACCCCAAAAACCAAAAAACCAAGAAGGCTGTGAAGGAAGTCAGTCTTTAAAAGAAACTATTATTTCTAGCATTTTTTATTCTTTAACAAGAAGGGAACCTGTGAAGAGGAACAGTTTTCTTTCCACACTCCTCATCCCAGCCCTGGTGAGGACGTCGGGGTGCCTGGACTGACCAGGTCTTAGCGTCTCTCTCCTCCTATGGGTTGGCCAGTGTTGGAAATAGATGCTCGGTGCTGCAAAGAAAAATCAGCACTGAGACAAAGGATTTTTCAGCAATGCAATTTTTACTCCCTGGGCTGCAGGAAGGGGACCCTCGCTAGCCATCTTGCCATGAGAGTACAATGAACAAAGGAAAATAGACAAATTTATCCCTCACGCATGTGGGGTCATCCTTGCTGCTGTGTCTGATCTCCGTTGGCTGGAGCCAGACCTCACAATCTACACTAAAATGCAATTGGCTAACAACTTACAACTTTTCTAAACAGGTAAAAGCAATGGAGAGCTGGGACATGCCTGTGAGCACGCCCAGCACAGATGTCTCAGTTGAAGTACCAGGACACAGAATGTACCATGTGCCTGTGAGCACGGCACATCTAACAGCTACATAGGACAGGGCTTCACAAAGTTATTAGCACACTTATTTTTAACAAGAAGGAAACTTTAAAAAGGAACTTTTCTGCTTCCCACGGCCGAGATGCCAGCGGGCATGACTGGACACCGGGCATCCAGATACACAGAATAGATAACAAATCATAGTCATAAAAGTGAGAGCCAACATATTAGTGACCATGAGGGCCTTTGTGTATCCAGGGGGACAGACAGGGCTAGGGCACGGAGGAGACTGGTGGCCATACAAGGGCCTTGAGAAGGGGCCGCCTGGAGGGCTTAGTCAGGGGCTCTTTAGCAACTGGAAAAAAGTGATTTCCATATCAAAGTGATGACACACTCACCTGCCCACATGGACATGTGATTTAAAAAAATGTTTAGGCCAGGTGCAATGGCTCACGCCTGTAATCCCAGCACTTTGGGAGTCCAAGACAGGCAGATCACGGGGTCA